AATTTTTGAGAAATCTTGTGGTTGGACTTGAAGATGAGGTACATTGTTAACTTTATTACCTTAAGACATCCCAAGTTCTTCAATCAGCAGCCACTTTTATACTTCCCCCCCCCCCCCCTTTCTGCAGTTTCTTAAAGGTCATTGTGTTATAAAAAATAGGAAAAATTGATGGAAATAATCCCAACTTTAAGCGTTCCGCTCAAAATAATCCCTACTTTGAATTAACTGGATATAATCCCAACTTACAGTGAATTTGTTCAAAATAGTCCGTAACCTGCTAGCAATGGATGGTAACCTGTATGAAAGGTTTATTAGATACATGTTTAATTAATAAAATTAGAATCAATCATAATTAAAGTTTTAATATATTTTGTTTCAAAAAAAAAAAAAAGTTTTAATATATTTTTATTAGTACATTATGTGATTTTTGGATTTTAGCTTCTAGATGTTTTGCTTCACCACTACAGACCATAACCACACACCACCAATCGTCCAGTCCCACCTTAAAACCACCACAACCCTACCGCCTCTGCCATGACCAATCGGTCCAACCCACACCACTGCAAACGGCGGCTGTGCATCGAATCCCCTCTCCACACCCTCCGTCGCGACCCCTCCGTTCCTTGCCCTCCTCCTGACCCGAACTCTCGTCGTCTCCCCTACATCACCAACCACAACCCACCCAAAACTACAACATAAACCATTAAACCCCAAACACAACCAATCAACTCAAGAAAATTTTATTTAAAAAGAGAGAATTAAGGAAGAGAAAGAAAGAAGAGAAGCGGCTATGGTGACTCAGGTGGCGACGACATGAAACAGCGACGGCGGCGGCGAGAATTGAATGAGAGTTGGTGATGATGAATTGATGTTGATGAGTGTGATGATAATTGATGGTGATGACTGATGAGTGTGAAAATTGGGGTAAAAAAAAGGAAAATTTTAAGATTTCTAACCTGTTTGGCCGGTAACCTGTAAATGGGAGCATTTTGAGAAATTTTGGTTAAAGTTGGGATTATTCCCGGTTAATTTAAAGTAGGGATTATTTTGAGCGGAATGCTCAAAGTTGAGATTATTTCCATCATTTTTTCCTAAAAATATAAATAAGCATACCTTATTGGATTCGTCTTCGTTTTGGATATGACTAAAAGAGTCACCATCAATCAATGAAAAGTATTCCAGCATCAACGGACTAAGTCTAATATCTTAGTAGACTGTATTGTCAAGTAGCAGTTCTTGCAATGCATTTTGGATATGCGCTTATTATCATAAGGATAATGCATTTTATCAGTCAATATGAACTTATAATCATAAGGATAATGCTGCATAAGCTTTAACTGCTCCACGTTGCCATAGGCAGGAACCTTCTTTAGTGAACGGGTGTGTTATTATCGTCTGGTGTGCTAGAATTTTGGAGGTTCCCTTCTTCAGTTTATTACTCCATATGTTTTAGTGATTTTCAGAGTTCCTACTTATTGGACTTAATAATAGTTACTTAGACCAAGGAATTTTTACCAACTACCAAGTATGTAGTCATAAAGGAATCATAGGCCTGGAGTACAATTTTGTTTGTATTGAATCTTTTCTCATCATTGTGTTTCACTTTAATCGATCTGAATTGATCTCACTTAAAACTGTCATCAGTCTGGACAATGAAAAGGTTGTTTGGATTTGTGATGATGAATGCCATATCTTAAAGTTAATATGTGCTTTTGGCTGACATCAGTAGCTATGTGACTTCCATTGGATGAGATTAATGAGATCAAAGTTGGGCTGTTGGGGTCTTGTTTCTTAACATGCCTCTAGTGAGTGCTTAAGTCATTCTTGCTACTATAGTTTTCTCCAAATATCCTTTAGAAATTCATTCATGGTACTGTTGTACATTTAATCATTTATCCTCCTTTGTAGCCCAACTGGATGTGTTGAATAGTTCATTACTATAGTTGATGTTCATCCATCACATTTTTTATTGTTTAAAAAATACATCGGTGTTTTAAGAGACTTTCAGTATTCTTAGCTTCTATTGTTTTCCATCTTAATATGTGCTGTCCTTGTCGTCACTGTTTATAGTCACCAAAATTGGGAGCAAATTGGCTTCCCACTTTGTATGCCTTTGAGATCTGAATCTATTGAAATATTAATATGTACCCCCTCATAGATGTATCAATTTTATGTCTGTCTGTCTTCAGTGTACATAAGTGCCCCTTTTGTATTATCTTCCATTCTGCTGATAATGGGGTTCTTTATTTTAAACTTTCCTTGTATTCCTTGTAGAAGACTTTTAGTATGTCAGTAAGACTGGAATAGATGTTTGTTGTTGACTGTGTCATCTCTTATTCTATTCTTCCATCTCAAATGTTAGGTGAGGATGGTGAAAATTACCAAAAAGACGGTCGACACTTACTTGTCCAGAGTATATTTTGGCAAAGTAAGATTTTTTGTTTTTACAAATTTGGTTTTACAGCTTACGCACAATTAATGTTATTGTTTGTGTTACCTATGGCTCATGGCAGGTTGGACAGGGGGAAAATTTCAGTGTCAATACATGGCCATCAGATGCTATCAACTTAGCCCAAAGATGTAAGGTACATATTTTACAGCATTGATTGAGATCAATGAGATGTGATTCTGTGGAGTCAGATTTTTTTATGCTACAATTCCTTTATAAATAACTAGTCATTGACCCGGGTAATGGCCCTGCCCGAGTCATTACATGTAGTTTCAATTTTTTTTTTTTTTTTTTTTTTTTTTTTTTTTTTTTTTCTGGAAAATATAAATTTAATTATATATATTTTGAGAATAAAAATTGGTTAGCCTCTCTGCTGCTAAAGTTCCTGAGCTTGTATGGTAAAAGGTATGTTGCCAATCACTTCTTTTTATGGTTTCTTCAACCTTCCTAGGGGAGGAGTCTGCTGATACCGCTTAAAGCAGCCCTCTGTCTTACCGCTTTGCCGAGGTAATGGATACCGCTCCCGGAGTTTGCTTCAACCAAGATATGAATGGTTTGGTTAACCAACAATTAGTCAAGTGAATATTTTACTTGATTTTCAGTATTTCAATCATAAGAAATTTCTTAAAATATACATTGTACATCGAGTTGCAAAGCTGTTACATATTTTGAAATATAAAACATAACACATTTGGTTTGCTAAAAGAAAGTGCAACCTTATTCTCCTATTCTTTTTTTTAGGTTCCTATTTATCCCAATTTTATGTGTAATCTATGTACGATTTAAATAAAGGAATAAAGATCAAGCAAAAATTGTTAATGACAAATTATTACCAAAATATAATTGTATGGGGATTAAATTATTGTCATAGGAAGGATTTTTTCTTCTTTTTTCTTTTTCTTGTTTTTATTTTATTTTATTTTTTATTTTATTTTTTTTTTTTAAAAAGAACTGTTTTATAGTCATAAGTATTATTATTGGAGTTATGAATGCGAGGTCAGGAGTTCAAGGCCTTCAAAGCATTGATACCAACATTTTTTAGTGAGTAGCTAATATTGATTGTGTGCGCATTACATGGCGCGACTGCATGTCATTTGCCAAGTCATGGTGACTCTATCACCTTTGGAGTTTAATAATGTAGTTAGATGTTATTGGTGCTTTCTGCTGGACTTTTTCTGGAAATTTGTTAGGGGAAGTTGATTTGTTGCAAAAATAGCCAAAAGTGTTAAAATATAGTGATATTTTTACTTTCACAGCTCTCAAGTATTAGTTGCTATTTTGCTTTTGTACTGCAAATTGGTGCCCTTTGAAAGTTTGGAGGAGACCTTTATGTGTTTCTGAATTGGGTGCTCTTCGTAATTTATGAATCAGAATCCAGGATTCTTCTGTTGGATGTTGATTCATTTATTTTTATTCTTTGTAGTTTCCTTGACTTTTATGTTTTATAAAATCTGTTTCTGGTACTGTCCAACTATTGTTTTGATAATTAAATTATGTTGCACAGGCCCCAATATATGTAGATAAGCAAATTGTTCTCATGGATGCTATCAGGATTAGCTATGGGACCGGCAGAATTCGTGATACAAAACCTATCTATGACGTTTTATTGGACAGGTATTAACCTGGTTGTTCAAAAAGCTTCTTGATTCAGTGACCTTGATAGGTTATGTATTTATCATTAGCATATTTATTATAAAATTTCTGTAACCAATAATCAACTTCATTGATGCAGCCCCATGGACGGTCCAGATCTGTTGGCTGAGGAATTTAATTTTGTGCTGAATATGAAGTTAGCAGCGCAAGAAGAAAGGTACAATGACGCAGGTATGCAGTAGGTTAACAATGCAACAACCATATCTCACTTGGCTAATATTGCTATCGACTTTCAATCATTTTATTTTGTCTGAATTATGATGTGCAGTAATGTGGAGGGACAAACTGTTAAAGCATTGTAATTCTGGAATTCAAACATCACAACCAAAAAATTGGCACGAGTTGCCAATCCCAGATTTGCCTTGATTGAAACATTAAAGGAGAAACTGACCAGAAAAACAATATATTCAGATTATGGTGCAATCAACAGATAACAGGCATCACATTCTTGAATAATTGTGATGTTGCTGTGCTAACAGGAAACAGCGTGCTTAGGATTTGTACAGGTTCATTTTATAATTAGTTTTCTTATTTAGCTGTAAATTTTCTTTAACTGTATAGTTCACAAGTAAGCATATAGGACGTTTTGAACCTCATATATCGTGTTTTATAACTTATAAGAATCAGAATTTTACAGGTGGTGTGCTGCTGTTAATGGAAACTGTATTCCAGTCTATAGTGAATGGTTTGCCAAAAGTAGGATTTTATTGATGAATCTTAATGGCTAGCCTACAAATTGAAATATACGACATGGCTTTATGCAGTGTCACGATGATCATTTCCTCACCGTGAGCAACTCTGTGCTGCAATACTATGAACTGATATATAGAACATTAAAAAAAAAAAATTAAAAAAAAAACAAGAAAGAAAGAAAGAAAAAAAAAAAAAGCACACCAAGTTTGAAGTTTGTCAGACCATTTTATTTTCTTCATTGCTAAGCCAAGATGAGTAATATGTCAATTGGCTTTTTACATTAAACGAAACAAGAAACAGAAGGCAAATGCCATGGACATTATGAGTATTATGACCAAATTCTTAGCTCAAGGCTTGCAGAAAGATACCTGAAATGTACAACTTAATATATACACAGGGATTACAATTTTCAGAAGTGCACTATAACTATTAACCGTTTCTAACCGTTTCTGTTGGGAGTTCACTCTGAGTCCAAGCAGAATAACCACCAGCGATGTCAATGATGCCTGTATAGCCCTGTATTTTTAGAATGAAATGTCATTAGGCTGCGACAATCTCTCAACAATCCCCTTCAAATATGCCCTTAAATATTTTTCAATGCGATAATTTAGGCGATTTCAGAAACAAGACCTACATATAATTTATTACCAACAACTTTTAATCAACTTATATCATGAATATGAAAGAGACCTGATATCATCTAGTTGGCGAATTAAGAATTCATGTGAAGTTGTGAACTAATTAATAACATATTAACAATTTAACATGCAATAGTGTCGAAGTGCAAGAAAACAGTTCATGTCTTTCTTAATAGAAGAAGTTATTCATGAAACTCGAAAGCAATCTTCTCATGGGTTCTCTTGGTTAAGAGATAATTAATAGTACCCAAATTTATTTATTTTTAAAGGAAAATAGTCCCAAAAAAGTTTATGACTAACGACAGGTAACCAAATCGATTCATGAACATGAAAATGATCACATTGGGTTGTCGTAAACTATACGTCTAATTTCTTAACTTTACAATATTAATGGGAAGTACAAGAAAATGTGCAGCTTAATTAAGAAAGATGATTCATCTATATGGACTATATCAAAAGTTATTTTCTATACTTACAGCAGATTGAAGATCATTTGCAGCCATAAGAGATCTCTTTCCACTTTGACAACCCTGTTTTACATAAACAAAGGAACATTGTTAACTGGGAAAAGAAGAAATGGACAGTAATATAATTATTTATGGTTTCCAAACGTATTGTGTAGCAAAAGGTTTAAATTTATATGGATCAGACATACAACAAGGATTTCATCATCTTTGCTGAATTGTGATAACACTTGTTCAAGAAAATTGGGGTTCTTTGTCATCCCTGCATCAGTTGGAATGGTAGAGTAGTCAGCGAAATACGACAATATCCAATTTGAATGATCCAAATATTAATCACGAAGTTCATAAACCTTGTTTGGTTATTGGTTTTCGCCACTTTTTACTCAGCCTTCAGCGTTTTTCATATGGTTAAAATTGGCCTTACAACTACTATTGAAAAGTTGGCTTAAACCAAGTTTTCTCATTGAATTTTAGCTTGCCAGTTTTTTACTGAGTCTTGAGCGTTTTTTATATGGTTAAAGTTGGCCTTACAAATATTATTAAAAAGTTGGCTTAAACCAAATTTCTCATTAAATTTTAGCTTTCAAAATGAACTAAGCTACTTTGCTAACTGCTGAATTTATTAAATATCAATGTATAACAAGTAATGCTAACAATCTAATTACGGAGTACATTGGTAGATAAACAAGCCAAGTGAATCAAACCTGAACCAATTCGTAACATGTAAGGGATGTTTACAGCCCCGGGTACATGCCCAGCAGTGAACTCTTCCGGAGTCCTGCAAATTTTATCCCCAGGCACAAATCAAAAAATTACTTTTGATGATAGGCAAAGGGTTTAGAAACAAAAATTAAATCTGCTACTCCGTAAATAGTAGCCTAATACAAAGTACAGTATGTATTTCCACAAAAAGGGAGATTTTACCGGACGTCCAAGTAGCTGTGGCCAGCTAGAAGAAGCTCACGAGCGACACGAACTGGTACAGATGTTGGAATTGCAGTAACCTCCACATTGCTAGTCGTTCCAGCTCTCCTTGAACTATGTAATTCATCATCGGTTTATCAATTTTTTGCATTTCAAGTAGAAATTAACCTAATCTATCTATACTTTTATTTATTTGTTATATATCAAAAAGTGTTCTAAAAATGTCGATGTGTCACGTGTACCCATTATTCTTGCATTGAACTAGCATCATTCAACAACCTCTGTTTATGTCAAGGCTCATTAAATGACAAGTTGAAAACCATGAATATTATCATCTTAGTCAAAAAATAAATCATGTTCTATTTATCCACAAAAATATATAAATACATATTAGAATGTAAAATGCTCGTAAAAGCAAAAATGATACAAAGAAATTTATTGATGTCATTATATTATTGTAATTTATTGGAAAAAATAAATAAATAAACAAGTTTTTAAGCTCTTTAAAAAAAAAAAACCTCAAAATAACACCCGGGTCATGCCCAGGTCACAAACGTATTAGTTTAAGGGATTAAATCAATTCGTTAATGGGACAAAGACTCCCTCAGTCCCTTGTGAGCCAAATTAAATTAAATTAAATCTAAAATGAACGATAAATGCCTTCATTATGTGGATGCAATTAACTTATTTGGTCTTTGATAATTATTGAGATACTTTGTATTAGTTTGGATTGAATCTCTACGAGTTTATACCACAATATATATTAAATTCTATAATAATAATAATAATAATAATAATAATAATAATAATAATAATAATAATAATAAATCTCTTTGTTATTAGAGTAATTAAATAAACCTTTTATTTTATTATGTGATACTTTGTAAGACTGTAATTTATTATGTGAATGTGTGATACTCCTTTCGTTTTTAAAAATTTAACTTACTTATTACATAGACTCTTGTTTCTAGGGCATGTATAAAAAAAAAAGTGTATAAATTAAAAGAAATAATGTAAAAAGATGGATGAATTAATTCAAATGATTGAATGAATAACAATCGAGACTCATATACTAAACTACTATAAAAAGATAACCCCATTTGTCTATTTGAGTAAACCATTTTTTTGTTTTAACTATTGAAAAAATAAATGCACTTGTGTATAAATGTAACAGCATTTTTTCTCATTGAGTAACCTCACCTATCAAGGTAATCTTATTTGTTCATCATTTTAACCCTATTATAAAATCCATAATTGATCAATTGTGTTATGTTGAATATATGTAAAGTAGTCATACCATATGACTATCCACGTATAAGAATTAATAAAATAACAGTGATAAAATAATCAAGAAAATGCTTAAGTAGTGAACTATAATTAGAAGCAAGATTATAAATGATGAAAAACATTTAATATACCTGTAACCGGAATAATTTCTGTAGGGGATGTTGAAACGGCACCGTATCGGGAACAAAGAAACCTTCTTAACAGATACAGAAGGTGTAAATGAAACACCATTGATGAGGTGGTCACTTAAATTGTGATATCGTAGAAGTGTTTGTTGAGTTATAGAGGAAGATGATGAAATTGATGCTGCCATTTCTTAATTCTAATTTGAAGTTTGTTCAATTTTTGTCAAGTAAATAAATATTAGATAGAAAAACTGGGAGTATTTAAGAGTTTTTCTTTTTTTAATTTTTTTTTTTTGAGGAAGGGAGTATTTAAGAGCTTAGAATAGAATAATAATAACGTAAAAATTAAAATAAATATAGAAAATAATTGATTTGTAAAAGATGAGCAGAAAAATAAAAATGAATCAGTGCCACGCAATTGTCTGGAGTGGGGTTTTGGATATTTGTAGTTTAGGGATAAACTTTGGTTTTATATAAAAACAGAGAAAAGAAAAATAATTTTGACATGAACGATGTTACGTATGTGAATGTAAGAGTGTCTTAAAGATAAAATCTAGGAGGAGGTTCCACATCACCCTTACATTGTTTTGCGTTTATATGAATCAATTACTCTGTCCCTTTGTTGGCCTACCTTAAGCATCTGTCACCTCATTCACCAAACAATCATCTTTGCGACTTCACCTCAGCGCACAACTGGTATGCATTTACAATGCATATGCATATAGGATGACAGAAATGTAAATTTGACAAATTTTGAAATTAAAAATGAAAAAAGATGACTCTACAGTGGTACATTATAATGTACCATTATGCATGTATAATATACCATTAAAGTATAAGTTGTCTTAATAGTATTTTTTGTTACTATTATGTATGTAATGGTACTTTTTGTCATCCTATAGCTTAAATATTTTCCCCTAAAATACTTACCACCTGTCACCTATTATGTATGTAGTGGTACATTTTTCCATTCTATTTGTTTGTTAACAAATAGCAGCTATGCGCTAAGGGTTAATCCATCTTTGCATTGATTCACTGACTCTATTTAGTTCATCTGATTGTATTTGAAATTACACCCTTCATTTTTAAAGTGTCCCTATTTGATTAGCATATTAGTCGATGCACAATTGATCACCAAGATCATTAATACTCCCTCCGTGTTTGAAGAATGAAACGTTTTGACTTTTTGTACTATTTATCTAATTCAATTTGACCAATGTTTATGATTTATACATAAAAATAAATATAGTCTTGTAGGTACTTGTTGAAGTCGTCCAAATGAGTAGTTTATTAATATTCACTTTGTTTTAATTTTTACTTATTGATAATTAAAGATATTACCAGTCAAAGTATTGCATTGGCATACGAAAAAGAGAAACGTTTCTTTTGTTTAAACACGAAGGGAGAAAGAATAACTATAAAAATTTGATATTTGAAAATTACAGACTGAGAGGATTTTAACATGTGCTCATATTACTTTATAGGCTCTTGTGTACAAAATACAAATATTGGTTGAAGTGGTGCACGTGATTAGTATCTAGTCAAAATGGGGAATAAAAGGAAAAATTGTCCGGAATAATCCCACCTTTGGGGCGTCTGCTAAAAATAATCCTACTTTTGGGTTATTTTTAAATAATCCGACCTTTATACCAAATCCGCTCAAAATGGTACTGGGTGACCAGTAACCGGTTAAAAAGGTAATCTTTTTTTTTATTAAGTTTAATTTACACGTGTCACAATTTCATTTGTCCAAAATTAAAAAAAAAAATTTAACAAAAAAAAGGTAAAATCAAATAAAATAAAAAAAACCACCACCACCTAAACCCAGACCCCAGAACCACCACCCTACCTAGACCCGAAACTACCGCCACTCAGAAACCACCGCGCGGATCGACGATAGTCCCCTGCACCACTGTTGTTGTCTCCACTCACCACCAATCAACTCCTTAATCACCCGCAACATCCTCACCACTAGTCCCTCACAGCCGCACCACCGCAGTTACATCCGCCAACAACAACCACAACAACACCACTCCATCTTCTCCCGTTTCACTAGCTCATCCCCTGACTAGCTCGCACCTTCGTTCCATTCCTCACCGCAACAAATTTCGGCCAACAACTTTCACCAATTCGCAAACAATTGCAACCACCACCATCCCCACAAGAATGGAGGACAGGGAAGGTCGGCGTACCGGAAAAGGGAGGGGGGACGGGGAGGGGGACGGGGAGGGGGCCGGGATCGGGACGGGAAACGAGTTTTCAAGGGAAGGGGTCTGTCGCGACGCCGATGTCGGCGCTGTGGTTGAGGGCTGGGTGGCCGAAGCCGCGGGGCATGGGATTGGGCTTAGGCGGCAGTGGTGGGGTGTTTTTTTTATTCTTTTTTAATTATTTTTTCTCTTAAAAATTCTAACTTTTTTTAAAATTTTATTTGATTTTATTTTCTTTTTACCAATCACAGAACACCACACGTTAGGTAATTTGTTATAATAGGTTACATGACCAGTTGGGACCATTTTGAGCGGATTGGGTAAAAAGGTCAGATTATTTAAAAATAACCCAAAGGTGGGAATATTTTGGGCGGACGCCCCAAAGGTGGGATTATTTTGGGCAATTTTTCCTAAATAAAAACAAAGGGAGTATTTTATCTAAATTTATCTAGATTTATCTTGTTAAATCTGCATTCATTTTATTTTATCTGAATTAATTTGGACTTGTTTGGGCCTGGCCAAAGCCTTGGCATAATTACAAGTAAAATGATGAAAATATCCTTTTTAAGGATCAAGTGACTCAAGTCTACTAAAATCAAGTCCATTATTCGTAAATTAGCCCTTAATGATAGGGTTACTAATTTACCCCCGATTTACCAAAGAAGTACAATTTTGTCATGGAAAAATTGTCCAGAATAATCCTACCTTTGGGGCGTCCGCTCAAAATAATCCCATATTTGGGTTATTTTTAAATAATCCGACCTTTATGCCTAATCCGCTCAAAATGGTCCCAACCGGTCATGTAACATGTTATAACAAGTTACCTGGCATGTAGCGGCCAATGATTGGTAAAAAAAATAAAAATAAAATAAAATTTTTAAAAAAGTAATATTTTTGTAAAGAAAAAATAAAATTAAAAAACCACCCACCACTCACCAGCTGCCCAAGCCACCGTCACTGCCGCTTGAACCCGATCCCCTGCTTCGCGGCTCTGGCCAACTAGCTCCCAACCACAGTGCTGGACCCCCCTCCCCCTCCCCTGAACCACCAACCCTCTCCCTCACGAAAACCTAGGCAGTTTTTAGGAAAGCCCAAGCAAAGCTCCGACGAGCCATAAAACCATCCCACACCCTCGAAAATCCCTTTTCCGTCTCGATCCCAGCCCCCTCCCCTTCCCCACGTCCCAATTTCGGCCCTTATTCCCTTCAAACACCTCGATTTCGGCCCTTCTCCCCTTCCCACACCTTGATTCTGGTAATGATTATGGTGGTTTAGTGGCGACGAAAGAGGGTAAGGGAGGGTCGGCGAACGACGCCGGGGAGCTGGGGTCTAGTCGCGATGGGGATGGTTGCTCTGGGCCTCATCTGGGCGGTGGTAGGAGTAGGGAGATGGCTGGGGTCGTGGTGGGGCTAGGGTCTGGTTTGCATTTTAATATTTTTTTTAATAAAAAAATTAAAAAAAATTAGTTAATGTTAATTACTAATTATCATTTCTTAAAACAAAATTAAAATTAAAACTTATTTTTTGACCAATCACGTGTGACCCGTATATATTAAACTTAATAAATAAAAAAAAAATTACCTACTCAACCGTTTACAGGTCACTTAGGACCATTTTGAGCGGATTGGGTATAAAGGTTGGATTATTTAAAAATAACCCAAATGTGGGATTATTTTGGGCGGACACCCCAAAAGTAGATTTATTTCAGGCAATTTTTCCTTTTATCACATTGACGTATGATCATAAATACAAGACCAATAATTAGGACATGCTATATTTTTATGGTTTTATACTCTCTCGGTTTCTCTTTCTAGAAAGTACATTTTTGATTTGACCATCAGAAGGGCATTTCCAGAGCAACATACTCTTTCCCTTTTGCAAACTTTCAAACACTTTGGATAGGACAATTTTCAGCTACTCTAGCTAGGACGCTAAGATCAGATTATTCCCAATATACCCCTCTTATCTTTAAGAGATTTTTGTTCAAGAATTAGGTGGCACCGTGTGTGGAGATGGACAATAAAAGGCCATGGTGAATACTAAGCGCCACTGCCAACCTCATGAAACAAACAAACAATAGTGGTTTCCATCTATCTTCTTGTCAGAACATGCACTTAAATAAATAATACTACCTTCGCTATTTTTTAGTTTCAATAAAAGAATTTTTTATATCTTACAAAAGAAATTTCTTTATTGCAATTAAAAAGTAACGGAGGTAGTAAATACTTCCTTATATTGAAGTGAATGTCCGTTCGCAAGTCACTCGCCATGATTTGGAGCAATTGGCGACCCAAATAAACGAAAACCTTGAGCAAAGTATGAGAGCTCTTGTCATCAACTAGCCAACTACGTGTCAAAAAAAAAAAAAAAGAAAACAATAAACGCACCACAGCAAGGTCCCCAACAGGAACTGTCTCGGCCCAAACAATATGGCCTAGGTCCATTCTTGTCGGCCCAAATACAAACTACCATTTGATAGCTACATTAAGCTTGGGCTCATTCCAAAATAGGCCACCAACCTTTAATTACCACCTTAAATCCTTAATTATTGAATCTTTCAAACTCATCAAATAATCATGTCATACTCCTTCCCAATAAAAAAAAAAAAAAAAGAACACCAAACATCCCACCACGTCCTTCTACCAAATAAACCAATAACGAACATAAACATGCAACGCACTAACAACATTGGCTATTTGGCTCCCTCAAAAATACATTTCATTACACTTTCTCCTTCATCATTTAAACATAACCCCATTTCTTCCTTATTTTCCTAAACTAATCTTAATTAGCGTTCTTCATCTTTTGCCATCCCTAAACTTTTTTTTTTTTTTTTTTTAATCATGAACATAAAAAAGCTAAAGGTACCCAAAAAAATGAGGGTAACGAGTATGTCCTCAAACAAATTTAGGGGTATGAAGGTGAGTAGAAGCATCAAAAGCATCAAAAAACTTGATATTAAGAAGAGGTTCCCTAGTCTTAGGAAACGAAAATCTGTTGGTGGCACAGGTGGTGCAGGCGCTGTTGGAGGGGCTAGTGGTGGTGCCAATAGGGTGGGAATTCGTCGTAGTAGTAGTAAGTGGATTTCCTCAGTAAGGAAGAAGATATTAAGGCCTAAATTCCCTGGTCACAAAGGAAGAAACAAGAATATCATTATCATTCATAATAACACAAGTATTACTGGGAATGAAGATGATAATAGGACTAGTTGTGCTACAGTCATTAAGGAGATTAGCTCCGTGAAAGAGGAGGATGTCACCTCCATTGACTCGGCTGCTCCACCTCCTCACGATCAAGCGAGTAAGGAGGAGGAGACGACGACGACAGAGGAGCAGGAAGAGGAGGAGACGACGACAACAGAGGAGCAGGAAGAGGAGGAGAGTAGAGATGGTTCAGAGATCATGAAGTTAAGGGAAGAGATGGCTGCTGTCCACATTCAATCTCTTTTCAGGGGTCATTTGGTAATACTATACATTCCATTCAATCATATATCTAATTTAATTGAGGCCTCGCCCCTCGTGTTCACCAAAAAAATATTTCTAATTCAATCATCTCATGATAAATGTTTGGATACTTTTCCTTTAGGTTTTTTGTTATATTTTGTCTTATATTTAACCTAGCTAATTGTTGGCTTAACATTCAATCTAATAATTGGTTCGATCACTATAATAATCATTAGTTATTGGGTTGAGTCATTTTAAAATATGCCAGACTCACTAAATAATACGGAGTACTTCATATGATTCAAAAACTTTTGGAGTTGACAATGCTTATGGAGAGATAAAGAGAGTGTCATAACTCATAAATGCACAATTTAGTTTGCATTTCCTCTTTCTAAATTCTAACCTATTGATTTTTTAACACTATTTCATCAAAATCTTCCATGAAAGTTGTTATTTATGAAACAATGTACATATTTATTTATCCATTTTTGGTGTGGCTTGCATGCACACAGGCAAGGAGGGCAATTAGAGCATTGAAAAGCCTTGTCAAGCTACAAGCTGTGGTTCGTGGGGTCTGTGTGAGAAGGCAGGCTCGTATTGCACTGCATTGTATGAACACTATGGTCCGTCTACAGGATCGTATTCGAGCCAGGCAGCTCCTTAGTAGACCCAGTGATGCAGTTGAAGCTTAATAATCTATTCAACTGTTCTACTATCGACTAATTTATGTTTCAGTTAAATGCAGAACCAATATATTCGAATTTCAATGTACAATGTTCTTTTACCCATCTAAATTAGTGGGTAACATGTTTGATATGAGTCATATGACTATTCTTAATTTTGACATACTTGCATATACTAGTATATAGTAACAACTAATATTTCAATTCTTTATAACATGTTTGTTGTAGTTTAAATCTTCTAATCTAGAAAAATTCTCATGTCGATTTCTCGTCAAAGTATGGGAACAAATTAACATGCTAAGATGTTTGGTTTTACTAAAGAGCGACTAAAACAACATTTAAATAAACTTCAAAAGTATAATTAGAAGAGGTTAATAATTGAGCCGAAAACTAGAAAAGCCCTCCTTGGCGCTGAGTAGTATCAATGATGAATGAATCAAAAATACAAGCATGAAATGTGTAGAATTTAAATGCTCCTCACAAACCTCTCTTGTGTTTAATCTATAGTGACCCTAAAATAATCGAGGCAATATACAATTTAAGATAATTAAACAATCCAACTCATCTAGATAAGCCACATTGTACTTAATCGCAAAACCGCACAAACAGATAGAGCGAAAAGCCCTGACTCCCTGAGAGTGCAAACCAAGAGCTCGTGCAGGCCTGACGATTGCCCATGTAGTCCTTGAAGTTGTACGCGCAGGAAAATGATCCTGCAATTCCAATTTGCTACAATATAGTTTTTAATCTTATGGGCTCGTACATGAGCAACAACGTGCATAACATACATATTTGTGTTTGTTTTTCTTAGCAAGGGTTGATCTGCTCTCTACATGGATTGGGCCATTTTTGCATAAATAAGTCCAAATTCATAAATTGATCAAGAAGTCGTTTATTTGTCAATATTTTTCTTTGAATTTAAGTACCTGATTGGCTTCGAACTTCCAATAATTTCTGAGGAAAGTGAAGGAATTTTTTTTAGCAAATAACATGGGTCTTCAATAATCAAGATAGAACTAACCCAACCTATTTACATGATGTGTTGTTGCTCATTAATCTTTTTGTAAAAACTAATTTCGCACTTTTCTTTTTTGACACTCTTTTCAATATCATATTTAGGGGCATTTATATGCAAATGAGCTAAACAGCTCAAAGCAAGATAATTTCAGTTTAACAATGACAACCTTTAAATTTTTTGGGGATACTTCCAGTAAAACTAGTATTATTATGAATTTTAGACTAATAATTTTAGTTTTTTTTTGTCAAACATTTGAAAATTTTGTGGGCACATGTTACATGTCAAGTTAAAAAAAAAAAAAAAAAAAAAAAAAAAAAAAACTGTCAGATAAAAAAATGATGTTTAGAATTTTGGTTCAGATTGGAGATTATTAGGGGTGTCAACGGGGCGGGGCGGGGCGGATTTTGGCATTCCCATCCCCATCCCCGCCTCACATTTTCATCCCCATCCCCATCCCCATCCCCATGTCGGGTCTGAAAATAATCCCCGTCCCCGCCCCGGCGGGTCCAACTCTAAAACCACCCCCGCCCCATCCCCGTCCCCGCCCCATACCCGCCAAACCCCCACCCCATACCCGCCAAACCCCCGCCCCATCCCCGCCAATTCCCCGCCCCATACCCGCCAACTTAGTATTGAGAAAAGCAACTGTCTTTCAAGTTTCAAGTGTCAACTGAAACCCTGCAGACTTCATAGTAGACTAATGAAAAAGTAGCAGTGCATACAAATCCCATTAACTCAAATCCAACAAAAACCACTGCAAGATCAACCATTTTAAAAATAACCATTTTAAAAAAAAAAAAAATAACTCCAAATTGTCCAAAGTCCAAATATTAAAAATAACTACAAGTCTACAAATATTCAAATACATAACAAGAAATTCATTAGGCCTTGAATTATTCGGTGCAAAGTCCACTTGTTCCAGAATCGATATCACATGTTTCAAATCCTTCCTCTAATTCTCCCACTAATTTAGCATATTCATCATCCTTAAATTCTCCACAATCTGCAAATACAATGTGAATTAATTAAAATAAATAAATAAATAATATTATTAATTAAATAAAATTTTATTTTAGCTATTTACTTTTAGAAGCAGCCCATATCCAATTTTGAGTACACATCAAAGCTTCTACAGCTTCCGGTAAAAGCCGACTACGATAAGGATTAAGAACCCGACCACTTGTGCTAAATGCGGACTCTGATGCAACAGTAGAAACAGGAATGCTCAATATATCTCGTGCTATTTGCTGAAGAATGGGATATGTGCCTCCATTTGTCTTCCACCAGTTAAGAATATCAAAATCTTGGACTAGAGGCACATTAGCAGCATCTAAATACTTATCCAAATCTGATATATCATGACTTGAGTCCTTATCTTGTTGTAAAAATTCAGCAAATTCTTGCATAAAGGTCTCTTCATTGGATTTGCTACTACTACCCAAATCAAAATCTTGTTGGTTGCTACTACCTTGAGTTTTACCCATCTTAGACCCATATTCATCAACCAATCTTCGTAGAAGATCACTAATTCTACGAACCTCAATTTCAAAGTCATGCTCATCAAAAATTTTTGCAAAATAAAAGCGAATAAGAGCCATTTTGTATCTAGGATCTAGTATTGTTGCCACTCCCATTAAGCCATTCACACTAGCCCAATACTTGTTATATTTTTGTAACATAATGTCGGCCATTTTCCTTACATAATCATGAGGAGATAAAAGCCAACCAGAAATAGCAATTCTCAAAGCACAAATTTTAGGAAAATAAAGATTGGCCGTAGGGTAATTTGTTCCTGAAAAACTAAGGGTAGTTTTACTAAACACTTCCAAATGTTCACATATTTTCTCAACTTTTTCCCAATCTTCAGGGGTCGGTGGATTCTTATATAAATTATTACGAGCACTTAAAACAACAAACACTTCTTTATAACTAGTAGCAATAGAAAGCATTTCATAAGTAGAATTCCACCGGGTTTTGCAATCAAGTGCTAACTTTCTACTACACTCAGGAGTTATTTGCTTAGCCACTTGTTCAAACCTTTGTACTCTCTTATCAGAAGCAGTCCAAAACACAACACTATCCCTAATTCTTTGAACACCATTTGATACCACAGCACTTAAACCATCTTGAACAATCAAATTTAATATGTGAGCACAACAACGCATATGAAAAAAATCACCTCGCAATAAAAGTGAGCCATATGGAAACACTCCTTTCAAAATTTCCATCATTGCATCATTAGTTGAACAATTATCCACGGTTATAGAAGACAACCTAAGATCAAGATTCCATGATTGAATGCTTTCTTTCAAAGCATCAGCAAGAACCTCAGCAGTATGAGGGGCGGGGACATATAAAAACCTACCAAAACCAATGAAAATAACATATATTATTTGTCTATTCAATACTATTGTGGATATATGGGCTCATTATTATCATCCATCATCACAACTTATAATTCTTATGATTTTAAAATTCACACAAAAAACTATAGCAATACAAAGACAACCAAAAAAAAATAAACAAGTTATAAGTAACCAGAAAACAATACCTTATGATCCGACTTTGCAACTTCCATGTATTATCAATAAAATGTGAGGTGACCGCCATATAACCTTTTCTCTGGTTGTCAGCTGTCCACATGTCAGTAGTTAAGGCAATCTTACCCTTTGCTTTCCTCAACAAGGTTGCAACATTCTCCTTCTCAAGCTCATATCTTTTCATAATATCTTTTCTAGTTGTGTTGCGAGACGGCACTTTAAATCCAGGTTGGAGTGTGTTGCTATATTTTCTAAAACCAATATGCTCAACCATGCTAATTGGATACTCATGCAAAATAATCATCTCTGCCAAGTCTCTTCTTCCATCTTCTTGGTGGAATTCGTAAGGAGCCAATGTCATCGTGTCATTCTTATCATTCAAGTTTTTTTTTGTACCAAACATTCTTGTTTGTCGAAGATCTTGACATACTCTCTTTGGACATATTTTTATATGATCTTTCAAATGAGTAGTTCCTGCTTTTGACCCACCAGCAAGTAGCTTGGAGCAATGGTTGCACTCAGCTTTTATCACATCCCCAACTCTCTTTCTCTTAAAATCAGACCACACTGCCGAAGTATGCCTACTAGTAATTGGTAGGAGAGAAGGATCGGAATTAGTCTCTAGAGGACTTTCATCATCATCTATTGCAATTGGAGTATTACTAGCGGAAGTGGGAACACTAGCGTTATTTGACATCTCAGACAAATTCTCCCCTGTAAAAATTAAATAAAGACAATTAATGCACTAGACATATTGACTACAGTATTGAACACATTTGACATCTCAGAAACAGCAATAATAAATTAATAATAGCAAATTAGCAATGCACAGCAGCAAAGGCAGATCATGCTTCTAGCACAGCTATCGGAAGATATCATGTTGAAAGGCCTATCAATGCATAATGTCATACTGTAACTGCTATGTTAATATATTGTTGCTGCTGCATAACCAGTTAACCACCTATCACACTAAGTCACTAACCACTACATACTGGCTGCCAGCAACAGCATCACCAAATTTAGTACTCTCATTTTGTAAGAAAGAGGGAGACAACAAACACAAACACAAGGACATCAAAATATAGTACAGTAGTTGTACAATTTGGTGTCTCAAAGTCTTCATTCTTAAAAGCTGTCAGCTTACGACATTAAAGATCCAACCTGTTCTTCCACTCTATCTATACACACCCACTTTCTTAACCACCAAAATCAGCACCTGATTATCCATCCACATTTTCATTACCCCAACTCAATTTGCATACATTGTGATCAATTTCATCAATATTGAGTACTACTTAAATTACAGTATAACAACAATAGTATGATACTATGATAATAGTTTGAAATTCATTTCTCACGCTTTTATACAATCTCAATAACAAAGAATACAACAAAATTTGAAGAAAATTCTTACCTGGGTTATTTAACAATTCTCAATAGAAATTGCTCCAACTTCCCCCAATGAGTCTGAAATTAGTCTGAAATTGCTCCAACATAATCCGAATTTAGTTATCACACATAAGCTAAAATAATAAACATAAACTTATAAGTCTGAAATTAATGAGAAAAACTAATTACAATCTATACATATTTCGACTTTATTATATCTATTTTGTGAAATTAAATATAAAAAAACAAGTAATGAAAATTCTAGATTAAAACCCTAATAAACTAAAAAATTTAGAGGTCATCATATTCATACATTATCATACAAAAAATAACAGTAATCAACTACATTGCATTAGATTGAAAGTATCATACAAATATAACACGAAACCCTAGCTCAATCAAATGAAATATTGAAAACCGCAATCGAACAAATCATAAATAAAAGACGAATCACATACTTTCAATCGAAAACCCAATTAAGAAATTCTTAATTGAACATATTGAATTAAGAAAATTCAAAGATAATAATGCGAAAACGTTTACCTAAATTGAATGAGTTGCAGCCTTGCAAGATCGAGGTTGAAGAAGAAGGATCGAAGAGATTTGATTGCAGACGAGGACCACGAGGTTGAAGAAGAAGGATCGAAGAGAGGGGTTTGAGGCTTGAGGAAGAGATTCAGCGCAGTGAGCTGTGAGACTGTGAGTCTGTGAGAGGAGAGAGTGAGGCAGTGAGAGGCTAGGGTTTTTGTTTTGTGAATGACTGAATGAGGGTGGGTATTGGGTAAGTGGGTTATTGGGTTAGATTTCATTAGGTGTAGTTTTTTTTTTTTTTTTTTTTTAATCGTATTATGCAGTCGGGTCTTATGCGGGTATGGGGTGGGTATAAAGCGGGTATGGGTCGGGTATGGAGTGGGTCAGGCGGGGCGGGGCGGGTACGGGGTGGGTCAGGCGGGGCGGGGCGGGGCGGGTATGGGGCGGGTCTGGGCGGGGCGGGTATTACATAACAACCATCCCCGCCCCATCACCCATGGCGGGTATGGATTTTAGACCCATCCCCGCCCCGCGACCCGCCAAAGCTAGACCCATCCCCGCCCCATCGGGGCGGGGATGGGGCGGGTCTCCTACTAGACCCGCCCCAGTGACATCCCTAGAGATTATTCGGATTTGAGAAGTTTTTTTTAAATTTGGACTAGAGTAACTCGACTGGACATACAAAAAAAAAAAAGTTCAGACAAACTCAAATGTCCAAATCCAAAATTTTCAGCAGTCCATTCAATTAACATTCTTTAGTCTTAGATACAAGTGGATATTCACACAATCAGAATATGTGTATATATAGCCTACATGTTTGTCGACATATATATTTCTACAAATAGCATCTCTCTCTCTCTCTCTGCCATGCAAGTTGTTAGTCAGTTTCAGTAGGATCCATTCCATTTGTTAGTCACGCAAGATATTATACAATCTAATAAAAATATTATACAATCTTGTGGGAGAGATCTGCACCGTTACCAAAGAGCACACTTGATAAGAAGCATTTTTTTGGCAGAAGATTAATTTTGGCAACTATCAACTTCTACAACCTGTGTTGACAGAAAACCATCTCAACAAGACTAAAATAGTACTCTGTAATAGAGAAGAAATGTGGTCATCCAAACCCTATAAAACCGCTAGTGCCTACCTCTTTGGCCATTTGCTGCAGGACCCCAGTAACTTCCGAGAAATTGGGTCTTAGTGTAGGATCCAGGTGCCAACATCTCTCCAGCAGATCAGCTAGGTTCGAATGAACATGCTTTGGAATAGCAGGTCGCAGCCCCTAATAATCAGGTTTAATATAGTGATTATCAGATTAGACAGGTTACACTAGTTGCCAGTGCTGATCAGAATGGAGAATATTATCACCTTTTGGACTACTCCAATTGCAGCTTGCAATGGGGTCAAGGAAGAGTACGGAAGCTGGTAAATAAGATCATAAGAAAGTTACTGCTAAATTTGGTACTAAGATGAGTTCATGCTATATAAAAAAGATGTCCGGCAATGGTACATTTGGAGGCCAAATGGGGTTGCATTGGAGCAGAAAGGGGAAGCAGGGGTGAAACAACAAAAAAAAGGATTTAGAAGAAAGAGACTTACTTCGCCAGTAAGAAGCTCCCAGATTACTATCCCAAAACTAAAGACATCTGCTTTATGGTCATAGGGCTGATGTCCAATAACCTAGAAAACATAAAACCAGTTGGAGCAATATAAGCCAGAAAAGTCATTCATAAGTAATGTCAAAAGAAGAAAAAAAGTTGAAGCCAGCCTGCCAGCCAGCCAGAGATTTTAAAAAAAAAAAACCTAGTATTATGACTGAACAACTAAAGCCTTTGGTGTAAAATCAAATATGTTAAGAAAGGGCAAAACAAAATGATATGTTCCTGTGAATAACTTTCAATCTTTGCTGCTTTTTCAATTGAAAATTGAGGTTTTTAGTGGATAGAGGAGAAGTAAAACCTGGGAAGATTATTAAGAAGTATTACAAGCAAATCAATTCACCACCACAGAACAACCAGTGGAGCAACATTTCTAGCCCAAGGCAAGCACAACCTTCCTTTCACAGGGATAATGAGAAATTTGATTATTTAATGTACACCTGTCATGTTTATTTGGGACTTAGATACAACAGCATCTGTCTGAAGCAGCAAATAATCATACTAAACAGTGGTTGGACAGCAGTGACTTGGACTGACAGTATAAAGTTTTGTCACATAGAACACAAAATGTAATTCCCATACCATTGCAATAGGTATCCAGCCAACTCCAGTCAAAGTTCTCCGTAATAGATAGGCATGGGAAATATCCAAAAAGATAAAAGCAAAAAGACAGATAAAGTAAACTTAATTGCTCAGTTTTTCTGAACCGGTAATATCCATTGATTCAATTATGTTCTAGCAATCATCCCTTTTCTATAACACAGCAATCAGAGTGGATACCGAATTTCAATCAAAACAAATTTCTCTATCACGCCATTTGCTTCTTCTCATTTGCTTTTTTTCTTTAAAAAATTTCTTTTACAATTTACAACCTGATCTCATTCCCTTTGCTTATATCTGAAGTTTAAGTAATATGACGCAAATATATGAAGATTATGGGATCATAATTACCTCTGGGGCCATCCACCTATAAGTTCCTGTTTCAGCTGTCATGACTCCCGATTGTGTTTGTACTTTAGCAACTCCAAAGTCAGCAATCTTAGCAACCTTCAGGAAGCAATGTTATTTAGGGATAACTTAGATCAAGAAGCCCCATAGAGTAAATACTTATAATTATCTTTGAGGACTCGAGAAGTACAGAGCAAAGGATGCAACAATCTAATAAAATAGAAACTGAGAACTACAACAGAATTCAAGAAGCTGATTGGTTCACCAAATTTAGAAAAAACAGATAATGTTGACAACACTCCAGATCATAGAACTGAAATCTTACGAATATTGTTGCCATGTCAGGAGTTGATGCATAGGAGCTAGGGAACCAAAACTAAGGCACAGCAGACAAGAAAATTTTTCCATGCTCTAATCACTACCGTTCATACAACTGGATAAACAGCCCCAAAGCAGCTTTAATAATAAAAATATTCTCACATAAGAGAAAAATATTCACATACAGCCTCAAAAAATTCAATTCCACTTTATCCTTGCCGCCTAGAAGAGCTTCATAGCACTCACGACACCCCTTCTCCTTCCTAAAAATGACCAATACTAATGGCCACCTAGATATTCCTAGTCATACTAGATGTAAGAAAGTAAGAAGTGTTACCATTTGGCATGCAAGAAAGTCTCAATATCATATCCTAAATCCCCAACTCCCACACTACTTGTACATAATGATACAACAGTCCATCGTTGGCAAGAATACTCACCAGACTACCAAAGTATATTTGGAATAAAATTTTTAAACATTATAAATATTATTGAGGGCCATTGTGCCACAAAAGTAGTGTAATTGATGCTAAGCACAAATTCCTGATTCTATATTGCACTAATACCTGAAGTTTTATCATTATACTCCCACAAGAAATACTATTTCAAAAAAAAAAAAAAACCCAGGAAATAGTTCATATGAATTTCTACTGATTCTCCAAGATAAGAGTGTCTTTGCCAACGGAAATTAATTGTTAATATAAATCAGACATAGTCACATAATTCCATTCTGCTCCCTTACCTATCCCTACAACTCCTCTGCAAAATGTTTTCACAGATCATGTGATTGCAAAGGTAAGATGTCTTACCCCATCTTCTCCATAAGCAGATTGGCAGTTTTAAGGTCTCTGTGTACAATATTATTCTTGTGGAGGTACTCCATTCCCATGGAAACATCAATAGCTGCCCTGAGTAGTGATTGTAGTTTGAACACACCCTTTCTCTTATGCATGAAATCGTATAAATTCCCTTTTGGCATGAATTCTGAAAAAAGGGAGGGGTGAAAGATCAATCAGAGAAAAAACACGCTTAAGAAAAAGAATCAGCCTTCAATTACCCTCCTACTTAAGATTCAAAGCAACATCAAGAAGAATAAGAATGTCAAAATACTGATCAACTTTGGAATGCCAATCTTACACTTGGTAAATAGCATGTGTACCACAAACACTCAAGAAAACAGACACAGACACCTCTACCATACATTGTTGGCTAGATAAGAGACCTGTATGTATCTGTATTACAATTTTAGTTCTCTGAGAACCTTTTACTGAAAGAGAAGACTAGACCTGTACGTATCTGTATAACAATTTGCAACCCCTAGAACAGAACGCCAAGAGTAAGGAAGCAATCTGAAGTGGCAATCTTAAAGGTGAAGATAATAATTGCACCAAGGACTATACAAAAATAAACGTCTATACATCATCTTATAACAATTATAGACTAGCTAACAAAATGAGTAAAGCATTTCCCATTCACGATTTTAGAGTATAAAATCAAGTTTAAGTTGAATGCAATTTCTTCAATACATTCAGTACTTAACACAGCACAATGAAGATAGCTTTAGAATATAGAATGTCAATGGTACTAGGACTTGAGAAAATACTTGAGCAATTCAACATAACAGATGAATATTTTCACAGGACATTACCAGTCACGAGGAATAGGTTCGGAGGTTTTGTACAAGCACCTATAAATTGCACAACATTCTTGTGGTGAAGTTTCCTACAAAATGAACAATAGTTATAAATAACATGTTAATGAAAGTCCCTTGTTCTCCTTAATTGAAGATCAGCAAGTTTTACAACAACCCTTCTCCCACATTAACCCCAGCTCACTTAAATTACATACACGGCTTAAGCATGTAAGGCTTGACCCCCACTCCTTTCTAGAAAGTTCCATGAGGATAGAAAATCTACAGACATATTGGCTTAAGGTAGAATATATAGAATAACACATGACTCAAGGCTGATTTCCAATGGGAAATAATTTATTCAGGTACTCTTGTTTCATTCAGTGTACCAGAAGACCAAAGGTTCGCAAGAAAGCAGGTGTGGCAAGCATTGCAGACAAACTAAGGGAAAACCGACTGCATTGGTTTGGGCATGAGGATGAAGCATTGGATCGTAAGGGATGGAGGAGGAAGATTTTTGTGGATGACTACACGGAATAATCAATTTTGGTTCATGTAGTCGACCCCACTTACGGGATTAAGGCTTTGATTGATTGATTGATTGACTGACTCTTGTTTCACTCTGTGTACCAGAAGACCAAAGGAACTGACAGATACAAATCACTTTGACTATTTGTTTTAGTGATTAGAGAACTAGCGAAGGGAAGAACGTAGA